TATTTTAAATGTCTCCGAAAAATAGTAGAACGAATGATAAGTAATTGGTAAATAAAAAAACCAAGTATCTGATAAAAACGAGAAATCATTGGAAAGCGAGTTCAGTTTAACATGCCACGTCCCAGGGCTATTCATGCATTGGGATTAACCGTTATTCGGCATTCATTGCAGGATTATATACCGTGTATTTTCGTGTCTCCTCTTCATCATTAGCTCCAGAGTTGTTGGATATACGTCCCCCTCTATTCATCTCTCTCCCTCTGCATTCGTTTTATACCATCTCATTCAGGCCTCACTATCGCATGTTTATTGGTCAATTTTATTTAATCTTTTTCCTCCTCATTACTTTTTCATCTCATTCCAACGGAATGTCTTTTTATCCTTCATCCACAAACCGAAAGGCGTGAAACATAACGGTATAATAGCAAAACGTGCCAAGTCGCCTCCTCGATATTTAAAACCAAGTTCAAATATAAATCGGTTAAAATTATTGACCAAATGAAATGGCTTTTTCAAGCTTTGGGAGATGAGAGATCAAAGACGACAGAGTGTACGTCAAATCGGGATTGATTGTCGGACTGTGCGAGCAAATGAAAACGTACAGGAGATAAATGGGCGTTGCTTGATAAGTTTTGACGTGTAGTCATCTCTCTTATAACAACTCTATTTATTCCTTTCCTCCTTTAGTAAAGAGAGCAGTGTAATGTTTTTCCTTACCTATCTATCTCGTCTATACCTTAGAGTTGAACGCAGAGTTATATTAAAATATTAAACAATTACACTAATTATCAAATTTAATTATTTGAATTTTTTCAGCGGGATTGATTGCAAGAAAAATACGAAACATGCAATTTTCCGCGGAAGGGTATCACTCGAGGGCTTGAATTCAACCATATGATATTATTCCGTTAAATATATGTATATATATATATTTATATTCTATATTATTTATCATTCTCCAATAAGCTTTAATTGGTGCTCCAAAAATTTAATGGAGAATGCACGATACATGTGACCGTGAGATAGCCTGGAAAGTGATTTCATAAAATTCGATTCCACTTACCCATCGTTGAATGTAAAATTACGCTCCATCTGTGCCTTTGGATTACGAGATATTCCTCGTTTTCCATTCTCGCTCGAGTGAATTCCATCAAGACGTACCAAGCGCTCAGATGGAATCGTAAAATTTCATTCGCTGAACCAGCGACATCGGATAACCACTGAGTTCTCAACTACAATACGTATTGATCGTTTGAATCTGATTACCAGATTTATTGGATTTTTCTTTATGCGGGACATTGATGTATTCGATACTTTTTATAACGGATTCGTTTCGATAAGAGGCCTTTAACTCTGGTTTATTGTCCTCATTTGGAAGTTCACGGGGTTATCTGTTGATTAGTGTCACGGATAGATTTGATAGGTAACGATGCTACTTTCTGAGGAATGAGGATAAAATTCTTATGGTGAGAAGCATTGTATAATCGCGCCAATATTAAATTCATTGATTTGAAATAGAATGGATGAAGTAAAGGAAGTATTTTTTATTAGTGGAGTTGAAAAACCTTTATTTTATCCTCAATTTCAAACTTATTCTCTCGGGTTCCTGGAGATTTTTTAATTTTATAGTTCCAAGACCTCCATAATTTTAAATTCCAACACTGCTATTAGGCCAGAAAACTTTCTGAAGTTGGCTTACCTTCCCAGTCAGTATGGAAAGATGAAAATTCTGGACATTATTAAAATCTCTGCGACAGAATAGTATTCTGATGTTTTTCATTCTGTTAATTTTTTTATACTGCCATTTCGAAAAAAAATTATCAAGTTCTTGGATTTAATGGTGTACTTGATCTCGCAATATCTTGAAAGTAATACAATTTTTTTTCTTACGAACGCAAAATTTTTTTTATCAAACACATAAGAAAGAGACGAAGAAAAAGGGCGCCACTTTCTAAACTCCCTATGAAACGTAATATTTCAATAAAAACAAAATACTTTTACCTCCCCACTCGAAAAATCCGGTTCTTTAAGGTTATCTGCGGAGGTGAATAACCGTGTGATTATAAAGAATGTAGAAAAATCCTAGCTAAGCTCAATATCGAGGAATAATATCTACAGTTCGATCAATCCTGAAGTCCCCAGGGCCTAGAATATATGTCAGCGTTAAAAGTAGGACCGGTTTTCTCATCTCCGATAGCATCTAAATGGCCAACTGAAGCAAGACGGACAACATCTGTTAGAGTTCATAGAGAAAAGCAAGGAATGATAAACCGTGGTTCCCATATTTCCAAGGCGCGTAGCGTAGATATACGTAATACGCTTGGGTGATTGCACAAGATTTTCCGGGTTAAGATCTCACGTGCACGAGGTTCTCCACGATTTTTCACTCTTTTCCAAGTATCCTCGCTTTCACCGCTCTCCCATTCTTCAATGTACTCACAGTTGCATGTACCAAACCGTTACCGCCCCCTCTTGCATTATTGGTTACCAACTAATCGATCATTCACCTCTACGCATTCTCCAGTGATCGCTGACCGGTATCTCTCGGACAGTAGTTATGCCAGAGGTTGCTTTCTCCATTGAGAATTGCCAGTAGAATTATGCAAACTGTCATACCATAAAATATTGAAAGAATAGAGACAGTTTAGTTAAAGAAAATTAACAACTTTTTTTTTTATGTCGAGGATAAAATGAGTGCAAGTTGGCGTGAAATAATTAATGCGTTATTCAACTGAAACTTTTCACCACCCCCGATTGCGCCATTACCATGTCTAAAATTTCATGCATGAATTCCGTCTCCATGCAAGGAAGTTTGGAACCACGCTCCCTTATTTTGTCCTCTTCCCTTCTCAATCTACAAGTGCAAATCCTGATTTGGAAATTCTACCCATGAAGGTGTCACCTGGTTCATGCCTCGAAATCTGTACTTTCTGCATACCCCCTACCCTTCGCACTATAACTACACCACACGGCGTTTCCATTGAAATTGGTTTGGTGCGCCTTCAGTATGTGTTCCTCGATTTAGTGTCTAGATGTCGAAGTGGGATGGAATATAAGGAGGAGTCCACGTTTTCCTTTGGTACTCCAGACGAAGTAAAGACCGGTATATCTCTGCTACTTTGGCGTTCTCGTTCAACTTGGTAAATCGCTAGTCTAGGGGCTCATACCCTGGCAATGTCGAATGTGGTCGGATATCGATTGGACCTGCTGACGGGTAAATTAAACTCGGTTTACCAGCATTTCCGGCACAACTCAGAAACGTCTTTCCTTCCTATCGTCTACCCATGCCACCTTCCCTTCTGATTTGTAAGCTTTCCTTCTTCGATGTGCCATATTGTGCCGAAATTCAACCGGCCTTACCCGGAAATGTGATATATTGACGCACGAATTTTCCTCTATTCTCTGATCTCCAATCTGGCTCCATCTCGAATCAATGTTACTGTCAGTTTCTCATTCTTGACGTATATCATTTTTCTCCCTTCGAGTTTTTCTTTGAGAAGAAGGCTCATTCATTGCAAATCAATTTTCATTGCTAATAGTACTAATTTTCCGAATTTTCTATTTCAATAAGTCTATCACTGATAAAAATGTAACGTTTCAACAACTGCGAACCGATTTTACCGATTATTTCAGGTACTGTGCATAATACATGAAAAAACGGCTTTTCAAAATTTCGAATATTTTTGGGCTACCCCATCGTGTCCCGGGTACCTTGGTACCGTCATGCCTTGGTCTCCCCTAAGTAGCTCATCGATGAGTTCTTGGACCTCTTCATCCATCATTACAATAGATTATCACATTTTGCGTCGGATATTCTGGCAATTTTTCCGTATAACTTTCACCATTACTCTGACAAGTTAAAAATGACCACCCCCGCCAAACCGGATAATTGGATTTAATATTGAAAATGCAATCTTGGGCGCCTTGGCATCTCTTTTCTCTTCCTACTGCCTCCGTATACAATCTTAAAACCCGAAGAGTAACGTTACTCGCTCCAACGGATATGAACTGATGCAAATGAAAATGCCAACGAAATAAACGCGTTTGTAATCCTCAATACTTAAAATACCCTCGGCATTTTCCATTTATGCGAATGGGATCGAGTAACATTGTCTCGCATGGTTACCCTTTGAGAAATTCATTGGACCTCGCATCTTTCATCAAATGTCACAACTGACAGCTCGCAGGTGTCTCCTATCGCAAGCATCAGAGGAAAATCTCACTCAAATAATCATACGCTTCAACGAAGCATTTCGATCGTCACGACAATTCCCAAAGTCCCAACGATAGTTTTACGGTGGATCGTCTTGGCTCGGCAAATCGCTCGCCAACGGGCTTTTATCAAACTTTTCTGAATGGACCTCTCGATAACCCATCCTGCACATTCACCTGGGGATTTATCGCCAACTTTCACCCTTTTCATCGTTTTTCTTCCGGTTCATATTGAACGAGTGAACTTAGTACTGAAAATTCACTGTGAATTCTACTGGAAATAATCGAATATTTTTCAATCTACAAACGGGATATGTCAGTATTTATCTCTGGCATTAGAAAATTTAAGTGTGAAAGGAAAAGTGATTGCGTAGCGTGACATCTTTAATACGATTGTGTTCAGGGTTTCGATAGTTTTCTTTGCCAGATAAGTGTGGTGTTTGTCCCGCCATATGAGCTCATTTCCGGGACAAAGATTGTATTATTAGGAAGTGAGAGTTAGTGAGAAAATGATGTTCAAAGTAAAGAAAGAAAATTAGTGTCTAAGATCAAAGAAATAGGAGTGAGTCAGTTCGAACTTGACTGATAGCGAATGAGGATGTAGAGAATTTTTCTCTTATATTTATTTTCGCTATCCCTGAAAGATAACCAAATCCTGTTCCTATATGATTTTGATCCTACATATATTTGAATAATTCTGTGAAATTTCATAAAATTGCGTGAATGAATAAAGAATTTCCATAGTTTACTGGTATAATTTTTTATCATGGAATAATTTGATGTTTCAGAATATTCTCGATAAGTTCAACCCCGGCGCGAGGCAACTGATCAACGCAGGGAAGGCGTATCTGAAAGCACTTCATGGTGAGTGAATTCGATTCGAGCGAATGGAAGTGAATGCATGTGGGAGAGAATCCTAAGGGATGTACTTTGTTTCACTCCCACCTTACACTATACCGATGAAATCGAGTGTCAGTTGGCGAAACTTCTCTTCTCCTCGCACTTCACTCCTTCCAAGTCGGAAATTCCCCAAGATTTTATTTCACACCGTCTGGAATTCCTTTACGTCTGCCATCCATCAGCTTCCCCTCAAGAGCCAACCAATTCTCTCCCTAAAAAAATTTCCCCTTATTTTCACGCTTTCCAAATAAACCCACTTTTACGTTGAGTGTCGCCATTATCCCTCGGTCATTCGATCAGTCCTCATTGCCCCCATTCAATCTCTATTTTTTTCGTCACCACCCTCCACCTCCTCTTTTTTATTCTTATCAAATAAACACCGCTGATGTCGCTGGTTTTATCCACTCCATGACGGGCATTGTCAGTGCCCCTCTCAGATTACCCTCGAGGGAATGAAAAAAAACATAAGTTTGAATTAGTCCCTTCCCTAGAATAAACAGAGGGGCCGTCCTCATCGAGTAAAAAGGGCTTTCAAATTAGCAGGCCCAGTTAATTTTTTACTCAGCCAAGTTATGATAGGTTAAAATAAAAAAAATAAACCCCTAATAGGCGGGAAAAACACGGTGCAAGCGAATTTGAGGAAACATATTTTTATTCAACAGTAAAATCCATCAGTGCGAGAAAAAGTGTAGTGTAACCCCCTCATATCGTTCTTGTAAGTTGTGTGGCGGGGTGTGTAGGTTTTCAGTCCTTATTTCAGGATTTGGAGACCGTTTTGGGGGAAAACAATTACGTTGGGAGTTACATGTGTTAGTACACCGCTCTCTGTGCTATCTATATATATATAAGACGTGGCGGTTTGTCGGCCCCAAAGAAACCACATGTTGATACCCTCAAAAACCATGAAAACGCAGAAAAATGTTAGTTTTTGATGGTAACCCCGTACAGATTACTCAATCGCCACATGTATCACCTGACCTCAACTGACCACCTAATATAAACAATACATTTACCCACGTCTCTCATTTAACAAGATTTATATTAGATATATTTTCTCGCTTGTGTATAAAATGTGGCGGTTTACGAAATTGCAAATTCAGATTTATTTCTACTGTCCGCTTTTATCTCATTTTTCTCTTTTTTGTTTGGCATTGTACTGGGTGATAAAATTATTGGAGAGTTCAAACCCTTGAATGAGTGCGAGTAAAAGTGTAGTATTGCGTAAAGCGCACCTTAAATCTGGCTTTGTCACAGTGAAAAGCTTGTACGCTACGTGTAGGATTACGTCTGAATTGTAAGCGCTGTGGGAGTAAAATGGGAGATGGAAAATTCGAGGAGATGGGGGTTAGTGGGTGGGTGGGTGTCAGTCCTGTTGGAAATGACTGGATATACATAAAAAAGGGTGGAGAACATTATTTATGGGATCCTGGTGGTAGTTTCCGGGACTTCTGGTTCGTACGGGTATCGACTTGTATTTACGAGTTGTAAAGAGACTCCGGAGGTTTTCGTTCTCGGCAGAAACTTTACATGGAAATATTCTCATGTGAACGTTGCTTTACCGAGTCCTCGGGAATTGTCATGATTGTAAATTTATTCATCTGGGGTTATTGAATACAAATGTCTTATTCTCTTATGGCTATCCTTTATCCAATTTTCAACGGAATCGAATATTTTAATCCATTTATCTTTTCATACCATTTTTTTGACGAAGTTACAGTATGCAGTGCTATTAGTCGACCAAAAATAAATAGAAACGTTGAAGCGCGTATATGTGAATTTATCCTTTTCCTTCTCATACATAAAGTTCATGACGCTGAGGCAGAGATTAAACCCATGTACTGCACAAATATAAACGAATATTTCGAATCTCTATCTCCAGAAAGTTCATTTTAGTTTGCACAAGAGTCTCGAGGATTACCTCAGTTGGTACGAATTCAGGATAGATGAATTAATTCCATCAGCGCAAATTTGATTTATTTTCCCCAGTGTTGGGCGAATATCCCTCTATGGTTGCTGCCATATTTACGCCCAACAACAAATCTTTATTGTGGATTCATTCAGGTGTAATTGCATTTCCGGTCTTTGTATTTCTTTAACCGATTTCTCTATCTTTATTTTAGAATTCTCCTTTGCCGAAGTTGTCGAGAAATGAGTGGGATCTTTGATAACTTATAACATTCCGAAGAGACTTTTAAACCTTTGATGAAACGTGAAGTGAAAACGTGAAAATCGAAATGAAATCCTAAGTTTGAATGAAGCTGTTTCTTTTGATGTTCAATTACTATGTCTAATATATCTTCTTAGATCACTAGTATTCGAGATAATGAAATATTTGAAAACACTTGAATGATTTTTCTTTTGTCGGAATATTCTTGTCATAGGCGTTGTTCGCCTTTGAATTCGCTATGAACTGATTAAGATCTCTGATCGTTCACGACTCGTAGTACTTTGGGGCTTTTAATGATGTGAATCCTCTTTGATCTTGAATAAGGTAGTTTCCTTCCCTTGAATTTATTGCGGATCTCTTCGAAAAGTCTAATATAACCGAGACATCGACATTCTCTTTCATGCAACCCACTGAATTCCAATTTCCGCACAACTGCGGTTGAAACTCGAAATCATTCTCGTCTTTAGTTCACGTGTGAATTTAGGGGAGTGTAATGGTTATGGTTTTGGGGGAATTCTCCAGAAGTTGTATGCACTGTATGGACGGTGATGGACGGTGAGAGGTCAGTCCAGGGTTGAATGGAACTTCGGACGAGGTGTCACCAGCAGGTCTCGGGGGATATGTTGGTGCTGAAAACACCGAAACTGTAATTACGCTGGACCGACGAAAAATTTAGAGTGCTTGCTAGCCTCTATAACTTTCTCTACCCACAACTTGATGGGGTATTATATTCGCTCTCTCTGTCTCTCTTCTAGGGTTCATGCAGTTGGTGTCGATACCCTCTCCTCCTGCTTATTCACTTTGCTTTTTCGGTCGTATTCATGAGGCTGACTAGTTTGTGTCGCGGGACTATTACCACTTGGTGACCACTAGCCACTCAAGCCGAGCGAACCCTATTTTTCAGTGATTATTATAAATAAACAAATGGATTTTTGCCAAGAATCCATTTAATCTGGAGAGGTATTATTAGAGTTGCCAATTTTCTTCGGCATTCGAGGATAGCATGAATTGTTCGATCATTTTTTTTGGCGATCAGGGGGGAGGAAGCTACAGAGCGGCTGATCACTTCGGGAAATCATTCAAGAAATAACCGGAAGTCAAGAAAAATCACTGGAAATCAAGTGATTTCTATTTTTGATGGTGACTTTCAATGACCTTTTGAGATCATTAAAAATCACAAAGAAACCGAAAGGGATTTCGGAAGTCAAAGAAGTTATGAATAAGTCAGCAATCACAAATATTAATTTACAAACATAATTCGCAGTTTTAACTCTACTATCTCACGGTCGTTGAACAAAGGCGGGTTGGGGATATCAATCGTCGAAACTTAAAATTTAAACACGTTTTCTCGTTTTCCAACGAGTTACAGCGTTTGATTCCTCCATGCTATCTCGTGCAATCTTTCCGAACCTTATGACTCTTTCATTCAAATGTCTTTTGACTCTCTTATTCTCTGATCTCTGGCCCTTATAATCCTCCTGACGGTGATTACCTTTGAACGCCTGTCCGCCTCAGAATTTCAATCATATGACCTCTGTAAAGCTTCTGATAATAATGTATAATAAATAAAAACTCATGATTTCTACAGTGATTTTTCGAAATTGAGAAATCATGAAAAAATACCAGAAATCAGGGGAAACATTTAAAATCATGAGAAGTCATGATTTCCAATTCTGATTAAGAAATTCACAGAACTCATTGGAGAAATCACAGGAAATCAGTGAATTCCGGAAATCACTGAGTCATGAAAATGAGGAGTGACCAGCCTTTCGGAAGCGACATCAGAAATGCAGAAATGCCGATAACTGCGTGTCACAAATTGATAGGAATGCGATCATTAAAGTTATTGGAGGATAAGACTCCTCAGGTTGAATGAATAATCCGCGCTCTCTATTCATTCACAAAATTTATCCGTTGGACCTGTGAATTCATTGTCTCCTCCAGTGTCAGTCGTCAGTCCAGTGCTCAATTTACTTCATTAAAAGGGGTCCTTACGAGACTGGTAAATGAGAAATCTTATATTTCGATGCTACCTTATATTCCGACTGTAAATCGTACCGTGAAACTCTACTCTCGGCTCAATTTCAAGGAACGAGGATTCGTCGAAGATCCGATGCTGGAGTTGGAATGGGACAAGTGCCCTTTCAATTTCTTAATGAGCCGATCCTTCTTTGAGGCCGGATGTAAAAGAAAGTTGGGCAACTGGAGAAAGGCAAATTTGATTAAAGTTTCTGGGATTAATGGCGAGGAGATGGAAGCATTCCATAAAAAGGGATGGAAATTTTAAATTCACTAAATTGATTCAAATGTTGAGTATACCGGGTAACGACTAGCTCCAGTGAAACCCCGAAATGAATTTTATTTTTTATTTATTTCCTACTTCAATCTTACGAATTGCTGAAATTCGATTCTTTCATGTTTTTTTTTTCGATCCAGAGTTAAACCTCTTGATCCTATGATTCTGTATTTGCGAATATATTTTTATCACTATCAGATTTTTGAATGCGAAATTCGCTTGGAATTATCGAGGCCACGCATTGGGGTCTGATCGGATTCGAATTTGGAAGCGGTTGTGCGTACGCTTCATGCCTGAGGGTCCCACCAAAAGCATTCTAAACCGAAAAATTGTTCATCCACCTGCGGGGATTCTATAATTAAATTGATCCCTCATGTCATTTCATATCCTGTCATTTTATTTCCAATGCGGTCGCTCGCGTCTATTGCGACTACTCCTTTCCCTCTGTGCGTCTCTTCGTCCTGTCATCAGTGAGGCTGCGGTATGTTTTATATTTAAAAA